GGAATGCGAGCACCCGGGCTGATAGGGTGGAAGGCCTACCTATCTGGGGTATTGTCTAAATATGGCAATTGATTTGCTTGCATTTCTCTGGCCCGTCTGTCTGTCTCCACATCCCATGGTGAACACTACACTTCTGCGTGATGAGATATTTGACTCTGCTACACCAAAATATGTGCATGCATTGACGTCGATTTTAGAAAAGCTTGTGACTTGTTTACTTCTGCCATGAAACTGTCTCTGTAAGTTGAGTTCGGTGAGTGAGCCAGAGGTGAGACACGTTACACCTCCATACCTGCAACTTGTCCTGTATCACTGAAAAGATTGAGTATCTCAAGCTGTATTTCCACATTGTTCCTTATCCCCCTTTACAACAGTCACCACACAGTGAACACAGGCTGAACAGGATGTCTGTTTAAAAACAAAACTTTAGCTGATCTGTCTGAACTTCCCACCACTTGGGCTCAGACTGAAATATCCTCTCCACTAATGGGTGGATTCCCATAAATGTCCCAGTAGGATGAACTGGAATAATAAAACTTTTTCTGTAGCACCACCAGCAGATCAGAATTGAACATTTTCCAGTGTTTTGTTTATGACAAACTCTAGCTGATCTGTCTGACCTTCATAAACTAATTCTGTTCTGTTGTTATAGGAGCTAGTTAGCTGCTATAACATTCCCTGACATTCCCATCAGCCTAAGGTATAGTTTGTGTTTACTGCTAACTACAGCATGTTGCATTTACCATGAAAATCTTGAAGTTGGAGCTGGAAATGGAGTCACCAGAATTTTTAAGACAGAAGAGCTGCGACTATGAGGGGTCACAAGTGGCAGCAGATCACATGACTCATGTAGCTTCAAATAGTTCCAAACAGCCCATTTATATGTGGGAACAGCAGGGTTTATCAGCAATTTCTACTTTAAATGACTTGTAAAGCATCATAAACTAATTCTGTTCTGTTGTTATAGGAGCTAGTTAGCTAGGTACCCAGGTATTAAAGAGACAACTTTTGACACGTTAACTTAAAATATCACAAGTATCGATTTCAGCTTCTTACTTTGGAAGATAGCAGCCAAGTGAATGTAACTCTTTGGCTGCTGCTCCTAATTTTTGGAGCTATTTGACAAACCCCTGATTCGCCATTACTGTTAAAAAAAAAAAAAAAAAAAGGAAAGAACCAAGTGGTCCGTATAGAGTCAATGGAGATGTTGTCACTCTCCTTCTTAAACCACCAGGTTAGCCATTGTTAGCAGTGTCAGTTTATAACAATGCATTACGCTGTATTTTTGCACTTACAATGTAACAACATGTCCATAGATAGAGGCTGGACAATTATGTATGACTGTTTTAGTGAGACATAAATAATACAGAAGTGTGAATATAAAGTATATTACTACAGCTTCTTACTGTTGATGTGCAGAGCAGCCATCTTGGATTTTGAGGTTGGTGTTGGTGAGGTTCTTCTGACTTTGAGTTGGAAATCTGACTTTCAAGTTCAATTAAAATACACCCTTAGCAAATATTAACATGCTAACACAATAATTTCATATGAAAATATGTAAACGGTGTATCTGAGGAACATTAGCATGTTGGCACTGTCACTGTGAGCAAGTTAGCATTTAGCTCAAAGCACCGTTGCCAACTTTAGAGCTGTTAGCGTGGCCTTGTGTTGTTACCAGATTGATTTAAGGTGATACCTCTCTGTGGGTTCATCACTACAAATAAGCTCTTGCATACACTGTGCAAGTGAGATACATTGTTTGTACTGTATAAAAATGTTGGTTATAGTCACTTTAAAAGCTAATAATGGTTTATAACAACTTTGATTTCATCTTCATAGATTTGACCATAGGATTGGACTGACTGCTCATGTTTCTTGCCATGTTGTACCTTTTTAGAGGTGTCACCATGTTCCCAGACTTCAGTGATTACTTTATTAAGTATAGTGTTGTCACACTATGAAAACTAGACCTTAGTACAAATAAAGTAGAATTGTCCTTTAACACGGTCGTAAAGGAGCCCTACAGTGAGTTTACTCACAGACTCTTGTCTCCATCTCTTTCTATTTAAAACCTCCATCTGGTTTGGGCTCAGCCTGAGTATAGTGACCCTGGGTGTATGACAGGAAGGGAGGAGTTGGTGCTGGTGGTGGCAGAGGAGCGAAAAGAAAGGGAGAGAGAAGTACTGTAAAAGAAAAGAGGACCCTGGCTGGTGGTGAGGCTGTTGAATCTCTGCAGGACTGTCAGATGGCTTTGACAGAGCACAGGCGCCAATTAGACAGCAAGATTAGGGGGGCTTTGTACTTCTGAAAAGCTTCTGGATGGATGGTTTTTCTTCCTTCCTGCCTTGGGTTTATGTCTTCACTGGGACTCCTTGCCCTCCCTTAACCTTATCCCTCCCTTACTCCCTCCCTTCTTCCCCCCTCCTCTGTTCTCCTGCAACCCGGTCCTTAAAATCTGCGATTATACCTGGCTAGACTTTGAGAGGAGTGGATTAATAAGGCAGCTCACCCGTGTGGCTTGGCAGTGGGTGTGTTGCAGAGCGAGTTAGCAGACCAGCAAGGTGGCAAATTGGATGTTTATTGAGGTCCTGGGTGCCTGCTGGCTTGGATATGGAGCTAACGTCCAGAGACTCCTGCTCCCAGCTGCAGAACATGACGGTAGAGTACTAGGGGTGGGGAGAAAGAGGGACACTTGCATTAAAATACGAGGTATTTATCAGCACTCAGACTTTGCTGTTCGTAGGCAGACATGGCAGTGCAATCTTTGTTACACAATACAGTTATTTAAAGAAGTCCTTTATAAAGGTTTGTCAATGGATGTCTGTAGACGTCGTGTTTACATGAAAGCTAGACTTCATAGCTTAAGCTCAAACCCCTGCTGTGCACACACACACACACATGCACAGACGCACCGCTCCTGAGTATGTGGAAACAATGACAGGAAGTACATTAGCTGGACCTCCATTGTATCTCCCTATACATCCTCACTTCCTAAGCCGGGTACGGGTGATGGTCAGTGGGGACACAGGGTGGAGTGTGGAGATGCAGAAGATCTCCCTGGTGCTTCCCAGCCCATTGCTCAGATAAAGGCCTGCACAGAGAGAGGGTCAGACCTGTCTGGCCCGAGACAGAGACATCCTTAATCCTGCAGCCTCCTGCTGCCTGTCCTCACAGCTTGTGGCGCTTTGAAACCTGGAGGTTTCCCAGTTGCTGATCTGTGGTCGGTCTCATTGTTTCACCTTTTGGGATATAACTTGAGATTGTTTAAGGGTTAGCTGGTCCCTGATCTGTACTTGAGGTGAAAAATGGACTCCTAAGTCAATGAGTTGCCACGGCACAGAGGGGGACAGATGGCAGGAA